AGAGATTTGAGCTTCAAAGCTTGGAATTAGACTCGGTGTGTAAGTGTGGAGCTTTGAGGTTGATTAGAACTTCTTCTTCTTCTTATTCTTCCTCGATTCATTTAGACTTGAGGTAAGGGGAACTAGACTCTTGTTTCTTGTTTGGATTGTTTGAGTTGCATTTTAATTGATATCCATGTGTTGGTTGATTTTGGATTGAATGGTTGAGGTTTTGAGTTTTGGGTGTTGACCTTGTGAAGGTGAAGTTTGGTGATTTGATCCTATTGTTGTTGCATGTTGAAGTTCTTGTGCAAAATGAGTTGTTGATAACGTTGCATGTTGAAAATCTTTCGAGTTTGAGTAAATTCCTAAACCTGCTATGCACAAATTTAACCATCATGTCAGATCATGCACTATACCTTCAGCAAACCTCGAGAGTAATCTTGTAGCTGCTAAAGCCTGCGTCATATAGTTGACCTGCACTCACTCAATTCGCGGTCATCACTCACTAAAAAGGAAAAGACTATCAAATAGACTTGGATATTAAATTAGTTTTTTTAAGTATTCGGAACAAATTTTGGACTGCAATTTCGGAGGTAGAATTTTTCTTAAAATATTTACCAAACTTTCAGTCTTGCACAAATAATATATTATAAGCGTTGTTTAGGATAAACGCTGCTAACCGGCTAAGATATACTTCCAATATTTTAGAATAAACTAGTAGTAACTAAGTAACATGAAGCATCTATCATGTAGACATAATTGTATGTTATCGTACCCTGCTATCGCCATTCTTGATCTATTTGTTGTATTTCCAAGTAAGGTATGACGTTTGTTTTATTGTGATGATCAATTATTCAATTAATTAATTAATTATTTATGATCGATATAGAACCTCCCATTCCCACATGCTTACGTTTTTCTTTCGTACTGTCATCTCAGTTTTTTATACAGCAATCTATATACATCAATGCATGCGGTGACGAACATATAAAATGGTTTTTGCGCAATTTGTCATCAACCAACCTTATTGGGTTTTATACCATGATTATTTAATACATTCAAAAATAATTAAAATAAAATTTATTATTAATAATAATTATTTAATAATAATAAATTAATTATCTCTATTTTATTATTTAATAAAAATATGAATGACTAATATATATTAATTATTAAAAATATATTTACATTACACAAAAACAAAAATTTATTATTAACGATAATTATTTATAAAAAATACTTAAATCTCATAAACTAGAGATAAAATAATTAAATTTGAGAGATGTATTGGAAAAAATTCAAGTCTCAAATATATATAAGTAAGAAGCAACACTTATTTTACAAAAATAAATAAAAAATTAAAGAATATATAAATACATAACAACCCTTATCTTACGAATCTCACATCAACTAAATATAAAGTTATTAAAGAGTATATAAATTATGAATCATTTCTTAAATATTTTGTGACAGCAAAAAAATATTAAATATTAATAAAAAATGTCACAAAACTTTATACATTTTTTTTACCATTATAAAGATCTTTACCAACATGCAAAATAATTATCGATATATATTTTTACCAACATTGCATACAATGATTAATGTGAAAATATTGATAACAAATTTTATAATTATTTTTATTGTTACTAAAAATAATATTAAATGTGTAAGACCCGTACGGGTATCATTCTCCCTTCCCTTTTCCTTACCATTTTCGTTTTCTCCTCACTCTCTATTTTCTCTTGCTCCAAATTGCTGAGCTCCCTTGTTGTGTTGTTGTTGCTGAAGGTGCTGAGTAGAGCTGTTGGTTGCTAGTTGGAAGCACATATCTTCATCTTCTTGATCTTTCTCTTCTCCCGAAGCTCGGATTCTTCTTCTCCAAGGTAAAGGAAGCTAGAAATGTGGAGTAGAAGTTTATAGTGTTGCATTGTTGAGCTGATTTCAAGTAGAAACATGTAGAATTATCAAGCATGGTTGAGAAATCGTGTTGTAAAATTGAGTTTTGGAGAAGAGTTGAAAATGTGATGGATCTGTGTTGTTTAGAGTTTGCATGTTGTGTTGTGTGTTGAAAATTGATGATTTCTTATACTGGATCTTCTTGTATTGGTGTTTTTATATGGATTGGGTGCATTTTCATGTCTGGTTTTGGTGAAAATAGTGAAGAACCTAAGTGTTTCTATCATCAACGGTTGAGCCCTTTGGGGGCTGCATGTAAGGGGAGCATTCCTAGGAGGCAAAGGGCTGAGCTGTTGGAAACGACTGAGCGCTTTTGTATTTTCAAAATTTGACTTTGTGGTCTCTATAAAAGTTGTAGCCTTGGATCTTATCTTTCCAATGACGTTTGAATCACCTAAAAAGGAGGTCTAGAACTCAAGATATGTCTATTTTAGTGAATAGGGGTCAAGTTATCAGTATTGGTTATAACTGTTGCGGTTTTTATAATTTTTAACAAAGTAGATGATAGAATTAGGACTTGATGTCTTCATAAGAGTTGTAGGAAATCTTCTTATATTTCATATGAGATACGTATGAGCATGATAGGAGTAGTATAACTCCCGATGCGCTGTTTTATGTGAAGGTTGCCATTTCACAATGAGTGATTTGGTTAAGTTAATAGATTGTTTTTGATGTTTAAATTATTTATATTGTTATATTGAGTAATTTGGCATGATTTATGAGTTTTAAATATGAAATAGGAGATGTATTATCTGACGAAAATGTTGTGTATTGTTATATATGATAAAATGTTGAAAAATGATGAACGTTGTAGTATGATGAGAAAACATAGTTGTGAGTTGAGAGTTGCATGTTGAACCCTAGTTATGTAGTTGTGTAAAGATGTTATATGAGTTGAATGAGTTGTTGTGTTGTTAAACAGTGTTGATGAGTTGCTGTGCTGATAAACTATGTTGTTAACGTTGTGAGTTGATTGTGTTGTTCAAGTTGAAAGTTGATTGAGATGATGAGTTGAAAATTGTGTTGATCATGCTGTGATAATGAGTTGTTGATCACTAGGACTAGAGGAGATATTTTTGAAGTTGCTCATCCCATTGTGTGGATTGAGATAGTTGTGGTGCTCTAAGAGCCCAATTTGTTGAAAAACCCTCCTTGGAAAGTTGTCCCTTGGAGCGAATGATGTGTTATTCTCCTCTAGGACTTAGTTGATCCCATGTGTAGGTAAGGTCGAGGCACACGTGTATAAATAAATCACGGTATAGGGGTTAGGTCAAGCTATACTAATTACAAGCGGTCAATTCGAGTAAAGTACGAAGTCGAGAACTTAGTTCCTAACCGAGTATCGGAAGGTTGTAGTATTTGAAAGATAGTCAGTAGGCTAATCCCATAGGTGGCTTAGTTAAGCTAGCTAATGTCGTGGTAGGCCTAAACACAGTAGTCCTATCCTGACGTAGTACTATACTTCCTTGTTTAAGTGGCAAAGTCTGAGAAACTATTGTCTTGTTGTGGATTTTTATCCAAATTTGTTGTTTACCTAGCAAACCCAACAAGGTTATGTGTTGTCGGTTCGATAGAACCTAGCCACTTAGACTACTCACCTATGTTGTAGGAGATCTTCGAGTTGTTGCGTGACGACGTATAAGTTGTTGATGAGATAATTTTGTGTGATATAAGTTGTATATATGTTATTGTGTTGTGAAACTGTGGTTGAGTTGTGTGTTGTTATGTGTTGTATGTTAAACTTGTTGAGGACGTTGATAGTGTTGTTGTGTTGTTAGTTGCTTATATATATATGTTGATTCTTTTCACTAGCTTACCCTTGCATGTTTTCATGTGGTGTGAACTACGATGATCATACTATGTATGAGAGCATGGCATGAATAGGCTATTGTAAGCTGTTGGAGGCCACTTGATGGTAGGAACTGGAATAAATGATTTTTTTTTATGTAGGCTACCTTGGAGTAACATTTTGTCAGTATTGTATATATTTATTTGGTCTCTTGAACCTTTATGGTTGGATAAATGTATATATTTTCTTTTTATATATATATATATATATATATATATATATATATATATATCTTTTTGTTGTATATTTATATTAT